GAACTCTTCGTACGCCTCCCTGAAGTCTTCGAGGTGCTCTCCTATTAGGTCATCGACTGAGCGACCAGTCAACCAGTATGGAGGACGGAAAGTTTCCGCTGGTAGTGAACAGGCCCATTCGAGATCAATCACGAACTTGACGTTCCATTGGCTGTTAACGAAGATATTACTAGGATGGAGATCTGTGAACCTGTAAAGAAAAGGTCCTTCTCGATATTCTCTATTAGAGAAATAAGGCAGGAGTGCTTTCATCATCGTCAACCTTGCCATCTGAGCTCGGCCATCATCCGCATCGCTAATGGAGTTTGGCTGGTTCCGTATGCGACTATCATGACAAGACAGAAGATCAAGATAGTATCCGTCCGCTGCCGAATAGGTCAAACTTCGACTGATGTTGGTCGGAATCCCCCCATTTTCTAATTGATGGAGTCGAAGAGTGAGAGGACGATTAGAAAGTCGCAAAGCTCCATTCGAGTCCAAGGTCCAAGATCCTATGCGAGGTAGTGGCACCCGACTTAAAGAGAGCATAATGCGAGAAAGTCCCTTGAAAAGGTTCGTTCTCTTATCCCGCTGATGACGGTGTTCATCCCAAGTCTCTGAGAGCATTTGCACATCTGAGTTGCCAATATAATCCATAACCAAGTACCCAATTTCGAGCATAGTCGAACGTTGATGGCAAATATAGGGACAGGGCAGGGAACATCCCAAGAGCCACATAATAGATCTTTTGATTGACCAAAGAAATCTGGGACCCAAGGAGGTATTCTGCGGTTTCGTAAACTGCATAAACCACAAGTTAGACTTCATATAATCAAGGACGATATCAATTGAGCTTCCATACACTTTGGCCACCAACAAGTCCAAAACCCCATAACTGTGGAATAGAGATTTCCGGACAATTCTCATGTATCCAGATAAATGTTGCAGCTTCGCAGCGAAGTTTTTCGTCCACATTGCCGGGATTTCTAGATTCTCCAACTTTGTATGGTAAGGGGAACCTAATAACAGCTTTTTTGTCTGGTTGCTGATCCTGTTTGCTGATATAGAGCGGTATGCAAACATTGAAGCTGCCATGGACCCATTCATTGACGCCTCCGATCCGGCAAGTTTCTGAAGGACCTAGACCGAGATGATATGATGCAATACTCTCAATATCATCACGATTGCTATACAGCGATACAAAGAAATCAATGCGCTGTTCCGGAAACCCCAGTTCAAGGAGAATATCCTCCTCTTGCTCCAGCGCTGACTCCAAGGTTGTGCTACCCCGGAGGAGTGGCAAGGTGGCCTTGTGATCTGTCATCGCGAGAACTGGTTGATCGATCCAAAATAACACCGAAAACAAAAATGCGCACTCATCGGTTGTGTTTGTCTAATGTGATCAAAACGTGTTTTGGCTTGAGGCAATTAGATGCTTTGGTGGAAGGTGTCTCCTAAGGCTCCCCCTTTGAAAGAAGGCGGTACGATACACGCTTCACCGCCTTGGTCTTTTCCCGCCACAAAGTGATGTAGTGACGGCAAGGTCATCCCTTGTACGCACAGGTACATCGGCCCGATACTGCCATCGAGGGATATATTCAAGACTAAATTCGTAGTTGCTGGGAATAGAAGACGGATTCAGCATACGTTAAGTTACGATATCATTTATGGATAAAAAAGAAATATTAACAAAATGCCAGCTCGGGCAAACAATATTCCTGTTCCAGCCGCCGCCAAGAGATCCGTGGTGCCCTATTATTCTATGGCGCGGGCCGGCCCCGCCTTTCGAACTTTACCTTCCAATGACAGCTGGAAGGTCCAGTAAGCGGCCTGACATTATAGACACTTTTAAATGTTATTTCGCAGGATGCCAGGATATGTTAATAAATATAGCTAGCCAGCCCTCAAAATGTCTGCTTGGTGGCATTATCCATCGTGTGTCACATACACCCGAACCAACGTTGGGTCACATGATCATCAGACACCCCGCTCGCATTTTACCCATCCAACAGACAAACTCACCGCTCTTGAGCGCAAATATTCGTCCACTTATCCGTGTTCCAATTCTATGCAGCATAAGAATTTGCTCCTCTGGCTCCGAACATTGTCTGCGTTATCGAGGTTGGCCAATGAAGGTGTGGCTTAGCCATCTTTGGCAAGTAGATAGCGAGGTATTCCAGCCGTCCTGGTTCCCCAGTTACCGTCTAGTCAGAATCTAAAGTTTTCAATCTAGAAGAATTTCCACCAGGACTTCTCGGTTGCATAAATTCGAAAAGATTGTATCTGCGACCGGACGATGGACCTACTTGGCTTAGACGAAGAGCGGCAATGGGCCACCAGAAACACCCGAGATGCCCTCATTGGACTCGATATCGAAGACTTTGACAACATGCCACTTGAGGAACGATTTGTGTTCTACACAAGCTACATGCTGGCAACTGGTTTCTTATTGATTACGACAGATGAGGGGAGGTATGGCGAAGCCATTGGACTAGGACTGTGGGAAAGCACGGCGATCTTTCTCTGTCGGAGCCATATGACTCGAAGGGATTGGCTGACGCGCGAAGCCCGAGTCTTCTATTTATCAAATAACTACTTCCGGATCCATGGAGAAATGGTGCCAAATTTTCTACAGAACTGCAATGACCCGTTCTGGGATCCCGATGGGGGCATGGATCCAAAACAATACGTTCAAAGTCTTAATATTCTTTTGAGCCCCCAGGAGGTACTTGAAAGCCATGGTGCAGAGCCAGGCCTTCTCTCCCAAATAGTATCCCTGTTAGAACTGTGTGGAGAGCAACTACAAGTTGTAGTGCTAGAGCTACAAGGGCGGTCTCACGAAATCCTCAACCGACTGGCTACCTGGCGGAGAGAGCTTGAAGCCTTGGACCGAAAGCTTGAGAAAGGCATTCTTATCATCGAGCATGACTCTCGGTCGAAAGCGAAAACAGCTCCGCAAATTATGAGTATCCCATGGGAGGAAGTCGAAGGAAAGCAACGAAGGGTGCACGAAGCGGTGCAGGAGTGGTGGAGCCATCTTTGCAACAGTGAACAGCTGGATTATGATCATGAAAGCGATGAAGATGAAGAACAGGATCAAGTGTCCTGCAGACAGAGCCTTGTGGATGATTCATTTGAGACGGTTTCTTCTTAATCCTAGCGACACAGATATCATGTAATTCCTTCCTAGGGCTGAAGGCTCATAATTCGATACCAGGTTAAGGTACAATACTGAGATAAATAACAAAAACATATACTTCAGATTAATATCATGCCTGATCTGACTATTTTGGCCTTTGTGTGTTCTTGGCACTACGTCTAATAGTAAACTAGATAATTCTCACTGTAAGGCTCACGTAGCTTCTCCTGTAAGTTGTGAGATAATAGCTAAATGCCTGATTGAGGAGTAAGAATGGTTAAGAATAGTATCACTCCACGTCACCGACCAGGTGGAGACTGCACGAAAGTACAACTAAACACCCCTCATTTGGCGTGATTTACCCCTCTCGTTTCCTTGTGGTTCGGTATATGGTATATGCCGCCGTTAACAAAATGGCGTACAGTGCCTCCTACTTCAACCTCCCCTCTTGCCCCTCATTTCCATCACTAAAGAAATCAAACCAGAACCTGGAATTTCCTATGCGTAGCAAACAAAGCTGCAAACTCTAAGGTCTTAGTCATATTCGTATTACTATATCTCATAAGCTGATTGATAAGTCTCACAGTGTTTTGCCATGCCACGTGAAGAAGATTCAAAGCAAAAAGCGGAAGAAGCCGCGAAAGCAGCAGCAGCGAAGGCTGCTGAGGAGAAGCAGAAACGCGAGGATAGGGCAGCTGTCACTAAAGGTCTTACTGACCATACGAC